AGCGTAAAAAAAACCGCTGCTCACTTGGGCAAACCCGGATCCGGCCTGCAGCGCGCAAATGCAGCCTCGCAGGCAGTCCTCAGTTATCCTTACTATAAGGTACAGTGACCGCTGCAACCATTGCTGGATGGGCTTGAGGCACACACACACACACAAGGCCCAGCTCGAGGCTGTAGCTGTTTTGCACGCACAGTCATTGCGGCCTGGGCACTGGCACTCGTCCATTAAATCCCGCAGCCGATTGCACCGGTGCGTCTGCTCGCGACAATCCACCAGGAAGGAGTTGCCTGAGGGGCCCGGGGTCCTTCTGTAAAAGGTGTGCTGGTATGTGCTGGTATATGATGGTAGTTCACTAACAGCCTTATTTGTGATTCTTTGACTCAAGCAGCCCAGACTTCAACTGCTCTGATAATTACAAATTTAACGCGCGGGCGAAGCCATGCTTGGGTGTTCCAGGTCCTCACTGCAAGGTCTCCCGCAAATGAGCAGACATCGCCAGCCGCACTGAAAACGCACGCACAACAGAAAGCCATGAGAAGGATTGAATGCTGCATCCTCTAACTCGAACAACATGCACGCGGCCTGAATGCATTTGATTGGGGATCTTCAGGCATGCACCTTTATGAAGTCGCAAGCTGTGGGCCCCCGAACTCCTCCGCATGATGCCTGATACTGCGACCCTTTCTAACGTATTTGTGCTGAGTTGGCGGCGCATCGACTTGAAGGCTCCTTCGCACCTGAGCTGGGTAAGAATAGCTCGTCCCAGGTGTGCAGTGATTGAGACTGTCGGACCCAGCTCCAGAATTTCCAGGCAAAGCGCAAGTAAGGCCACCTTAAAACGGCTCCGCAAGACTTTTTTGCATGGTTTGCCTGTCTCATGCTAATATCCATGACTTATTCCACGCACCTGCAAAGTTCGAGGTCTTACTAACACATGGCAACCGGGCGGCATCACTCTGGTCACTTGGCAACTTTCGACATCGACCTCCTTGGCCTGCGTCACGTTTGCCAGTTAGGATGGGATTGGTCTTAAGTGAATATCTGTGGGTGACTATCGCTGTATGAAGGGCAAATCCATGCCGGGTTCTTTGTTTCCTTTCCTTCATCTGTGCCCCAGGCAGGTTGGTCGCGCTAAGAACACCAAGACACACTTCGAGTTAAACCTATTTCGACGCAGAAATTTCAAAGTCGGGATTCAGCTCGTCCGTGATACGTTGGATCTCGATGAGTAGTTGCGAGACGTTGCATAACTTCAGACCTGGGATTGTCCTAATGCCCAGTCCTTCAGCAGCTTCCTTGCTGAGCGGCGCGCCTGTCACGGTGCGGTGAGGGGTTTAGTACTTGCTGAAGCTTGTGTATGAGGGCATGCTTGCTTGGCTGGTTGCAACCAGTCCAAGTAAACTTTGTTGCTGCAAGACTTGCCATATGCTCGGCAACTTGATAGCAAGCTGCTATTGTTGCTGGCAGGATTGCATGCGCACCCAATGGTACCTTTATGCGAGTGACCTTCGACTGGTGTCAGGCAGTCAAGGCCCGGGAATTATGTAAAGTGTGACTGCTGCATGGGAAATATCTAATCATTCTGATGACTGGCCTTTCATCCATCTTTGTAACGCATGTTGCAACCATCAAGCGAGCCGGTATCTTCACACTATGAAGTGGGAAGTCCACCTCCAAATAACAGACACATCCCATCAAAGAACTGCAAGTTAAAGTATGACGCCAGGCAGCAGCGATGCCAAACAAAGTGCTTATCGAACCTCATGTTGCACACCCTGCATCTTCAATCGAAGGAGCCCAAAGCCTTGCTGTCAAAAGATCAGTCAAGGAAGGTGAAACTGCTTAGGCAGCAAAAACAGCTCGAGCAGCCAGACCCCGTTTTAGGCTAAAGTTGCTTGCTCCGCTTGGGCATGCATCAGCGCAACGGAATGACTTCGGTTCAGCCTTGAGGCCCTCCTCGAAGACTTCAAGGGGCACGCCTTGTTCATGTGGAGCGCTGATTTTGTTTGTAATCCTTCAACCTAACAACACATACAATCTAAGCGGCCCCTTAAACTTTGCGTGAAGTACAGCTGAGCGAGAGAACAGGCGTGTCAAGCGCTTTGGCAGCCCGTCCCCAGACCAAATGCTTTCCGAGCCCAAGTAAGGATTGAGAGATTTCCCAAAGGTGCCTGCAACCACCAAGCCTTCCTCCGAGAATTCCGGCAGCTCGGAGGACATTGCGGGATGACTTTGCTGCACTTTGTGAGGCTATGTTTGTGCGGCTTGTCGTGGGCTATACCAACCTCTAGAAATGATTTGATGAAGCTTGATCATACGCATACTCTTTGCCAGAACAGTTGCCTCTCCTTGGGTTGGCAGCAGGTCTTTATTGCCCGCCTTTTCCTGCGTGAGAATTCTGACAAGTACTGGTACAACAGCTGACAACGATCAGCCTGGAACTCAGAATGTCTTTGCAACAAATGATTTGGGTATGGGTGTGGTAGCTCTTTATACACTTACGAGGCAAAAGCTGGGGCGGCGCTTCTTATGTACAAGTAAGGCACGGATCCTAGCGTCATCGAAGCTCAGAGTGGTTTGCTTCCCTTGCGGTGCAGTTTGGAAGCAACAAACAGCCGCGAAGGGCATACTTCTGGTCAAAGCCGTGAACAGTTCTGATGCGAATTGCCGTTCCGCGTGCATCTTCACGTTCAATTTGTCATGTAGCTGCATTGATGGGCTGACAGCTCGACGCAATGCAGAACACCGTTTACCCCCAATTATGTTTCATGGTGTGTGCGATGAGGTGAGCCATGGACAACCCACCTAGATCGCACTTGTGTAGCTAAGACAGGGAAATAGTTGTGGCCCGTGCTTTGGGCATGAGATCACCCATTCGCAACAAAAACTGCAATCAGCTTTTTTGCAATCAGAAGCTTGCCAGACCCAAGTAAGCGCGATTCTAACGTTTTGGGCTGGCAGACCAATCTTTGTAGCACTAGCTTCACCAGTATGTCAAAAGTTCATTAGGGGGGGATTAGTGCTTTACTGAGCAGCACACACATACAATCACTTGCTTCAAAACTATCTATAATATACTATAATACCGCATGTCTTTGTTTCCCTTGTGAAGCTGTGTGGACGGCCTTATCCACGGCCAAAAGACCTATTTAAGATTGCATGTATCAGAATCTAGCATGGCTTTGGGGCCACAGCTCCAATGAATCAAAGAATTCCCTTCTTCAGGCCTCAATGCGATGAGTGCAGCGTCCAAACACAGAGCTTGAGGTAAAGGCTCCGCTTAAAGCATAAACCATGGCTGGCCTGTGCAGCTGTAGCCACTCTGTGCACCGGAGACCTAAGCGCTGACTGACACAGATTCTTTGATGTTCATGCCATTTGGTGATCAGCGCCGCAGAAATATCCAAGCATAGGAGTTGCTGCGACTGCGTAGCTCTCCATGCCGCATCCCTTGAGAGTAAAGCCCTTTGATCCTATCCTCTTGTCACGCAATCGTGGGGGGCCATTTTGTTCAAGGATTGAACATTATTCCTGAAAGGAGTCCTCGCCCCAGAGAAAAACGGCAACAGCGGCAAACTGAGCCCTTCGCACAACTCTTGCTGCTATGATAGGCGTGGAGGCCTTCATAGGCACAGCAACAGGGCAGCAGGTGCTCTTATGAGCTCGATGGAAGATACAAAAAACTGAAGACTGCCAGAGACTGCCTCTAGGCAGAATCTCATTCTTGCCTACTCTCACAGCTTGTGGTTCCAGCACTGGTGAACAACTTTTGCCACATGCTACAAGAACGCTCATACACGAATTCGAAAACGCTGCCAGCATGGTGCCGAAGAACCATGCCAACAAAAAGGCCTGGGATGGAGCTGTCGGAAGCATCGGCGGTGCCACCTCAGAGTATGCTCTTGTATCTTCCGTTAACAATCTCTGCGAGGGGTCTATTTAGGCAGCAAAAACCACTCATGGACGATCATGGACGGCAGGCCCAAGCTTGGCGCCATGAAGCGGCGACATGGCTGGTTGGGAGAGATGGTGGCCTCAGGGGGCGCTGTGTTGCTGTTTCATATTCTCAGCCGCCATCATCCTGACAACCATTTGCCACCGCCAGCAAGGACCAGCGTTGCTGGAAGAATGCTAGAGAAGTTTGTTCATACTACATAAGCCAAGCAGGCTTGGCATACCATTGCCTACAGTAGTATGCTATAGCTGCGGCTCAACGCTTGTGGACCTCAATACTGTCACTTTTACAATTTTGAATGCGAAGTAAAGCTGTGTTCGTTTTTTCTTGTACAGTTGCCGTGCATCCGCGGACAAAGCTTTTGTCTTCCCTGGACTGATATATGGGTGCTTATCGAAAGGCGGGTGCTTCTGTGACCCCATGTCATCAATATTGATCTATACCCTCTAGAAGTCTGGGAAGCCTTTGCGTAGCATGGAGCTCTCACATCATAGTTCGAGGTCTGGAAAGAGACGGAAATGGGGACGGAACGAAATCATCGGGCAGTCTAACACAGGCTGTGGAACACAGCGGTCTGGATCGGAGACACAAGACCATGACCCAGAGTGTCTGGAACAGGCTACCGGCCCGTTGCCATGTTCTAGACTAAAGAAAGAAATCCAACGGTCTCCCAGTTCACCATCCCATGGACCACTTGCAAGTCTACGAAATCGGCCCCAGCCTGTGCCACTGGCGGCGGTGGCTGCTTGGGAGTCTGCGTGCCAGGAGGTGCCTGAACAAACAACAGAAGGAGGCTAAACCATCAGTCACAACTGGTGGGGATTGAAGCTGTGAAAGACGAGCCCAAGGATGTGGAGGGCGACGAGCATGAGGACGCAGAGAAATACCAGAGCAACTTTGCATGAGGGCAAAGCTCGAAACCGTCAAAACAGCCTGCATGAGAATCAAAGTCTCCCGGATGAGAGATGAGCAGCGTCTGCAACCCTATGCGTTGTAGCCACCAAGTATAGCACAGCCCCGACTTCGACAGAAGCTCGCTTTTTCAGCCACAACCTTTCGAGTCCGAATGTCTGGTCACAACAAATCCTTAAGTATTGCACAGCCTCCGTCTCAAATGTCGTCCCTGTAGGCAACCAGGCTTCGTTAAGAAGAGCCTTGCAAAGTGAACCCCCGAAGGTATAGTTCTCACTGTAGATTCAGCCTGGGGTCCAAAGTCTTAATGAAGATTTCACATTTCCATGTGAAGTTTTGGCCTGGTCCTGTGGCTCTGATGTCTGCTCAGGCCGCACCGCTTGGACGAGAATGGGCTCCGCAGCATCTGCCACAGCCACAACTTGAAAGACTGCTTGAGTCGCAGTTCTAGTGTGGGACCACAGCGGCCGCAACTGATAAGGTCAAGCATCAGGCAGCTGGTAGGGTTGATCTTAATTTTCCTCATCATAAGTGGTGTCAGACAATTACAGAAACTATCTAGATTCTCGATAGTTTCTTGTTTCTACTGGCACGCGTATGGAAGTTTAGTTTTGTCACTTCCATGGCTGGCCAGCAGCGCCATGTACACTTCAGAACATGTGCAGGATCATTCAGAGATGTCGGGTTGATGTCTAAGCCCAGGGGTGTAGTGTGAGATTGCCTGCATAGCTTTCACTGAAGACTTGGCAAAAACGGATGGCGAATAATCCGAATCAACCCATTCAATACATGTGGACGGGGATAGGTGCCATTGTGAGAGCCCGGCAGGCAAATTGCAACGATTTTTTCAACTCTGCGGATGATAAGTACCCAGGCGCTGCTACAACCACCATGAGAACTTTGCAATGTGTGTTTGAGTACCCTGTTGATGGAGGGCATGCGCAGTGGACACCAGACTTGGCGCGAGTAGGCATCTTTGCTTCCGCCTATCTGAATTATCTTCCTTGTGCCGGCAACCTTACGGTCCCTTCCCGGCAGAAGTTCATGTCCCGCTGCAGGCCTTGCACCATAACCGCGCTTTGAGACTCCTGCGTGGGTGGACAGATAAAGGGGATCTGATTCGGATATAGCGGCCTGAGAGTGAGAGTGGAGGAGGGGCCAGGACAACCGGGCCAAAGCCAGTGCATGACGATTAAACAAGTTTCATATACTGCTATCCAAATTCGCATCCTGTGACATCGCTCCCTTCGTCTCCACGTTTTCACCCGACAACCTTGGCATATGCTCGGATGACTCCATCCATGCTTTGAGGGAGATGTCTGAAGCCAAATTAGCGGTGTCAGCAGTTAACCCTGTTCCTATGTGGCCAAGGCTCTTGCAAAGGCTACGCTTGATGTTATGTTTTGCCTTTGCTCCATCTCACTAAGAGCCGGACGTCTGTATGGCCGAAAGAATGGCACTGCGGGCCTTTTCGTGCCGGTGCCTTGGATCTGCCGTTCCACTCTGCACTCAAGCTCAACTGATTCTCCAAAACAGGGCGACGCATCAAACCAAAGAAGCCCATGTGAAAAGTCCAGCTAAAACCTTCCGGCTTAGATCTCAGACCCCCGAGGAGAAAGCCCCTGCAAAAAAGCCGAGAATCACAACCATGAGAGGATCACGCAGTTGTCGCGAATGAGATTCTCTGCAGCCTATTCTATCGGATAAGTGGAAGATTTTAACCTCAAACAAGGACTATGTGAAAGACTTACCCCTTGTCACGAGTAGGCGAAACTCCCCTGCCAGACATCTCTTCATGGAGTCAACTTTCTCAGCTTCGCGCGGGCTCGGCTCTTTCTGATTGACCTGGTGAGGAAAGCTGCGCAAAGCCCATGACGTGACACTGGGCAGCCGCAACCATGACCGCTGTAGCAGCCTAGCAGCAAATACCACAGAACTTTGAACCAAATCTAATATGTTGCCCAGCGCAATTAGCCCAGTGCTATAGACTCTGTGTCTCGAAGGCAGTCGCTGCCTTCGTTTCTCGGGCCATTGATGGCTCTTCCGGACCTCAGCAGCAGAATTGTTTATGCTTGGCCATGGGCTTTACAAGAGGGGGTGGGCCTAGAGAACCTGAAGCCATCAACTCCTGAGCAAAGTCCTTACATAGGTCAAGTGCTACAAAATCGGAATGTTGTTTGTCGTGTCCGTCTGCTCAAGGATGGAAAATAAGCTGTAGACCCCCCAGGCTCTGTAAACTTGCTGGCTGGGCCATGATCAGACAACAGAAATCCAGATATATCCGAAGCCAAGTGTTGTGGAGCCCCTCAGGATTCTCCAGCCATAGGCAGGAAATCCTCATAGGCCACACATC